TTAGTATGTGTTGGTTGATATTGGTATGAAGCTCATGATTACTAAGGAAGGTCTTGTAGTTGACCTATCTCAAGTAGAAATGTTTTGTACGTAGAATCGATACAATAGTAGATGTTCATAGCTTGACAACAACGTCGATTCAATTGGCTCACGTGTCCATCTCTTTCATTTGCCACAAAGGGGGCGATAAGAACTTTCAAAAGTCAACGGATTGGTCAAAAGTTATCTGATCTTCCATGGTAAACCCTGACAAATATTTTTCGTTTATAAAGAAGGAAGAAGTATAGACAGCATGGCTGAAGTACTACATTCTTTTAAACAAACAAACAAACATGAATAGCTAAGCTGTATAAACTTCAAACTCTCTACACATTACAGCTTTGAATCTTCATGACTCTTCTTTAGCTAAACAAAACTACGCATAAAACCGATCATCCTGCTGTTTTCGAGTGTTTGATGAGCCAATCGATCACAACATCGATGTTTATCGAATCTTTGCAAGAGATCATGTAGCAGCATACCTCCCTATCACGAATCGATTCAAGTTCTCTGCAGGAACAAACCCGAAAAGATTATCAACAAAAGTATATTTCTACATCAACAGATAGCGATCGGTATAGTATCCAGGACTCACAACAAATCAACCAGTGACTGCTTGGAAAGTGCTTCTGACTTGTCAATTTTGTTGCCCAGAACAAGCAGAGGAATACCACTTAATGAAGGTTTTGTTAACAGCTCATGGAGCTCACTTCTTGATATTGGAACGCTATCTCTATCAGCAGAATCAACTACATACCTGATCTTGCACCATCAGGACAGAGACCAAACAAAAAAAAAAATGTTAAATCTTTAGATTTCGATCTTCAACTTGGATCAAACGTTATAGAGTGACGGATAAATTCGGATCAAAGGCTATCGAATTACTTGGCTTGATCTTGTAGTCCTATCTCTTACATTTCAATATCATACTAGTTCTATTTAGGTTCTATCAGTTAGCTGATTGATACCACACGACCGGCAAATGATTTAGCGAGGTAGACAACTAGACAACAAAATGGCACGTTTAACAAACTTTTTGAAACGAGGTCGAATCCTTCTTATAGACTGTGTCGCCCTATCTGTCAAGTTGCTACTTCTTTCAGCCATTTTGGTTGGCGTATACCAATAGGTATGTTAGTTCAATGTAAACGATGTTAACAGCAGGGATGATATATAATCACAATGAAAATAGTTCCTAGAATGTTATTATCATTGCCGAGGTCCTAAAAGCAAACATCTTCTGCACGTCGATCCAACTAGAGAACAGTATAGAACACTGACGTTGGATACTGATAGCATACTAATCCAGGCCTCACAAAAGAGTTAGAAGAGTTTTTATTATCTCTATATGTTAGTATTAATGCAAAAAAGGTTTGAAACAAGAGCCAATAGCAGCCCCTGCAACTCATATAGTTTGCAGGGAACTTTCCTTATGATAGCACAGAAACTATAACGGATCAACCCCACCTCTAGCAGATATTGTCCTCTTTGGGTTTTCCCTTCCAGACTTCCCCTCAAGGTTTTTAAAACGCATTTGCTAGGGAGAGTTTTCCACCCCGACTGATTTGGGATCTCACAAGCCCCACCCCCCACCCCCCCGAGGCCCAGCGTCCTCGCTGACACATCGCCTCGTGTCCACCTCCTTCGAGGCTTAACCTCTTCGCTGATACATAGCCCGGTGTCTGGCTCTGATACCATTTGTAACAGCTCAATCCCACGATTAGCAGATATTGTCCTGGGTTTTTCCTATCGGGCTTCCCCTCAAGATTTTTAAAACACGTATGCTAGAGAGAGGTTTCCACATCTTTTTAAAGAATGGTTCGTTCTCCTCCCCAACCGATATGGGATCTCATAGAAACAATATGGATTGATTTAAATTTTGTTTTCTTTGGTTTGCTTCTAACCGAAAACTCATTATTCCAGCAAGGGCGATTTCTAGTTATCAAAAGCAATAGATCAATTCAACAAAGACAGGAAAGGCAGAATAAAAGGATGTGACATCTAACAATCAGCCATGTTCTCAGCTAAAGTAACAATGCTAACAAATAAAGCTAAAATTGAGCAAGGAGAGCGTTAGAGACTTGGGATATTTACACAATTGCAGTCACGCCACGGCAATATCGCTCCCACATTGTACGAAATCTCCTTTGCCCTCCAAGATCCCAAAGTTTAATTGTTACATTGCCCTTTGTAACTTTTCGCATGTTAAACCCAACCTGGTTATCAGAACATCAAGTGAAGATCATAAGATACATTCAATGAATTACAAGAGCATAAACAACGAACATGATAGAAAAGCATACTCACAGTTGGAATCATATCCTCACTGTAGCCCCCTGTCTGTAAAAGTCAAAAAAGATCAGAGAACAACAGAAGGCCATTCACATACAAAAAAAAGGATGTCGAAATTTGCATTTTCTTACGGCAATAGAATTGACAAGAGATGTCTTCCCAGCATTTTGGAGGCCTACAAGTGAGAGTTCCATTTCCTGTTTGAAGAACAGGCTGACAACAGGCACACAAGACAAGACTATAAGATTGGAAATAACTCCTAAAAGTCTCAAATAGTAGCACAAAACAGCTTCCTTTAGATGTTCAATAAGATTAAGCATATGAAAAACTGTTCTCTATCAATGAACAAAAAGGTTAGTTCAACTACGTAGCAAGAGGCGTTTCATGATTCTACAGAGCTAGCAAAGCAAGGACGAAGACAATGCTTTCGTTCCTTCACGAAGAAGTTGAAACGCTTCAGCCATGATCATGGAAGCTGGATTAACACAATAACTATGCTAAAAATTGGGATTCCAGCACAAAACTATGAAAGGCAATAAAAGTGGCTAGATGACTCTGAGATGTATGAAAATTATATATGTTGTGAGGATTGTTGGGAGAGGAGTCTCACATCGACTAATTAAGAGGTTGATCATGGGTTTATAAGTAAGGAATACATTTCCACTGGTATAAGGCCTATTGGAGAAACCAAAAGCAAAACCACGAGAGTTTATGCTCAAAGTGGACAATATCATATACCATTGTGGAGGTTCATGATTCATAACATGGTATCAAAGTCATGTCCTTAACTTTGCCATGTCAATAGAATCCTCAATTGTCGAACAAAGAAGTTGTGAGCCTCGAAGGTGTAGTCAAAAGTGACTCAAGTGTCGAACAAAAGGTGTACTTTGTTTGAGGGCCCCCAAAGAAAAGAAGTCGAGCCTCGATTAAGGGGAGGCTGTTCGAGGGCTCCATAGACTTCAGAGGAGACTCTATGGTGTACTTTGTTTGAGGGGAGGATTGTTAAGGATTGTTGGGAGAGGAGTCCCACATCGGCTAATTAAGGAGTCGGTTATGGGTTTATACGTAGGGAATACATCTCCATTGGTATGTGGCTTTTGGGGAAACCTAAAGTAAAGCCATGAAAGTTTATGCTCAAAGTGAACAATATCATACCATTGTAGAGGTTCGTGATTCCTAACAATGTATGCACACAAAACAACCACAAGGTCATCCCTAAATATATAGAAGTTGGGATCCAAGGCAGAAAACAGCCAATATAATTGTAATAATTGCATTAAAAAAAAGATCCTAGCTTAGAACAGCCCCCTTCACAACAATCATAAGAAAACAAACTCGATCGAGTCTTCCGCAGCATAACTTCAGGGGTATCTAAGAACGGTTTCGAGCTGTATGAACAGAAACTCCCACTATTAGGGCCAGCCTCTATTTTTCATGCCTGAAGCCAACTCAATCTCAACGGAAGTATTAAAAGAGCTCATTAGTTGTTCTGTCATCATTTGTTCTACAGTCAATATTTGTGTTAAAGGAAACTACATCAAAAACCTCAAGCGTACATGCAATCTCAACTTCAGAGTAAACCACATATCAAATTGTGCAGGGGACCCAGTTGTCCATTTTCAACTAACAAATCTATAAATCTTGAACGGCTGTGCCTCTCCACACGAAGGATTGAATATTCAAACTTCAAACTAGCATAATATTCTCAATTGAAGATCAAATGAACAGCACAATATTGTATTTCTAGTGAACATTCGCTATAAATTAATATCAAACAAGAGGCCCATATTCGAATTGAAAATAATAAACGCAGCAATCCCAACTCAGCCGACAATTCTCTCGTTCAACAAACTAACAACAATCAACCCTCGATTATCTCAGCCACCAAGCAAAGGAGATCATAATAATAACAAAATTCAAGAACAGGAAAAGTAGGGCAGGACAAAAATCGTACCTCCTGAGCCAATTAAGGATGGAATCGAAGAAACCCATTTGCGGAAACCCCGAGGCAGATTGAAACGGTGAAGAATTCTTGATTACTGAGCAACAAAAGAAGCTGAAAAATGGAAATTCCGGAAGTTGATTAGGAAGAAAGAGATAGCAATGAAGAAGAAGAAGAAGAAGAGGAAGAAACTTGTGCAACAGGCAAACCTGGATCGGGGGCCACGATGTTCTATCCGTGTACTGTCCGCTTCTGCCAAGCAGATGATCCAAAACAAAACACAATCTACATTTTTTCAATTTTTTCTAAGAACTTTGTATTTAGTGATGTTTTAATGTTTAAGTTCTTTTTAAGAATATGATTTGGTATTCATTCACTAAATACAACCAAAACTTTCCTAAAATATTACTCTCTTTAACATACGATTATCATTCATATAAGGTAAGCAAAACATAAGAGATATTCATTTAATTCACAGAGCTACAGGCAGTGATGGTGCGTAATTAGTATCTTATTCACTAAATTATAATAAGCAAAATTTCAAAATTAAAGCTTTAAAAAAAGAGAAATTTGGGAGTATATTAATTATTTAATTTTATTGTGGAAAAAGAAAAGGAAGTTGCCACCTGGCATCATTAGCTAGGCCAAAGTGCTCCCTCCATATATATCCATCTATGTGTATATATATATATATATATATATATATACAGACATAAATGTTAGTTCCATTAAGAGTTTATAAATTCTTGTCTCTCTTCATTTTCTTGTTCTCTCTCTAGGAAATTAAACAGAGAATTTAGAATTATGGGAAGGCAACCTTGTTGTGATAAAGTTGGGTTGAAAAAAGGGCCATGGACTGCTGAAGAGGACAAGAAGCTCATCAACTTCCTCCACACCAATGGTCAATGCTGTTGGAGGGCTGTCCCTAAACTTGCAGGTCTCGATTCCCGACCCCCCCGAAATCGTTCCGTTTAGACCATACCCGTGTCTAACCCGTTGAGCTATGTTTTGGGATTTTGCAGGATTGTTGCGATGTGGGAAGAGTTGCAGACTTAGATGGACTAATTACCTTAGGCCCGATCTAAAACGAGGCCTCTTGTCGGAATATGAGGAGAAAATGGTCGTTGATCTTCATTCTCAGATGGGTAATAGGTAAATATTTGATTGAATTTTTGTTATTTTTTTAAGAAAAATTAAGAGAGAGAGAGAGAAAGAAAGAAAGTGTTTTTATTTGACAATTGCAGGCTTGAGTCATGTGGTGTAATCATGGATGGCATGTTGTTTTTCTTCTCAAAACAAGGGGCAATTTTGACATTTTGCCTTTTTAGTAACTCGGTTTTAACTCGCTTACTCTTGTTTGGATAGGTGGTCAAAAATTGCTTCTCATCTTCCCGGAAGAACAGACAACGAGATAAAAAACCACTGGAACACCCACATAAAGAAAAAGCTAAAAAAGATGGGAATCGACCCTCAAACTCACAAGCCCATTTCTCCACTTTCTAACGACGCTCATTTGGCTCATCAAAACGATCAGAAGTCTCGACAACAACAATCTCCTCCATCTCCATCACCATCACCGTCACGAGCATTGGAAGAACATGATAAAGAGATAGTGATCGATGAAACCGACGTGATGAACTTACTCGTAGATGGGTTTTGCACGGAAGAAGACGTGTCACTAATCGAGCCGCTACAAGACGTTGGAGTCCCATGTGCTTCTTCTTCTTCAACAACCTCAACTCCTTCCTCTTCCACCCCCTCATCCTCTTCTTCATTTTGCTCACACTCTGAATCAGCAGCCAATTTGCTTCAAGATTTGGTGAATGAGTTCCCTGAATTTGAATGGCCAAATATTTGTGAAAATGGCTTACTGGATGAGCTTTTGGAGGATGAGCTTGGTGGTTGGGATTTTATCATCGATAATTCTTAAGAAATCACGATACTGTTCGTTTCGAATTCATAAAGTTTATAATATCATATGTAATATTTTCTGATTCATATGATAGAGAAATTTTCATATCTAAACGTTTTTTTTTTTTTTTTGTTCGAAGAGTGACAATCGATTGAATAACGAAATAAAAAGTTGTCTCGTTTCTCTTTTACCGAAACGAACGAAATCGTGGTTTTCGAAACGATGTTCAACTTTCATAGTTGATAAAATAAAACATCCTTAACGAAGCAAAGAAGGATATGGTCGATATGTTTTGATATGATCAACCTATTACTAAAATGCATATTGAATTTTATTACCATTTAATTTTTTAAATTCAACAAAACTAATATATTAAAATAAAATAAACAAAATTCTTAATTTTAAATATTTTTATTTGGACTCCAAGTAAAGAAAAAAAAGGAAATGAACAATATTATCCACTAAAAATCAAATTAAAATTTTTAAAAATAAACTAATTATATAATTCACCTAACCAATTTGTTATATAAAAATATATTAAAAGATTCACGTGAGTTGGAAAATTATAATAGATAATGACGTTAAAGCTTTGTTTTTTTCTTTTTATATATATAATTTTTTTTAAATGAGGGATTTTTACACATATATATAATTATCACTAATTAATTTAATCAACTTTTAATTAATCCATTTGACTGAGTTAAGTAAATGACTTTGCGAATAAAAAATGGAAACTAATGATAGGAATTCATTTAAAAATAATAATAATAATAATAATAAGTTAAATAAAGTCATTATTTTTTATTAAAAAAATGTGGGCGTTGAGGATGATGAAAAATCAAGTACAAGAAATTTCCAAGGAAATATATTAATAATGTTGGATTATACAAAATATCTCTGTCTTAAAATATTTAATTATCCATCAAATCTTTTTTTGTTGGACATTTTTGTTCAAATGTCCTATTCAAATGTTTTTTTTTTAATTTTTAAGTAAATTGGAATTTGGTACACTTTTGTGTATTTTTTTCCATTATTTGTGAATTATTATTTTTTATAGCTAGGAGAATTATTATTTCGATAAAATTAAAAGATTTTTTTTTTTAACTTAATAGACTCCGTAGCTACCCGTTCTTTCATGTCATTGTTATCACCTGATATCTCAAATATTATATGCAAGAAAGATAAAATAGCACGAGTGGTTTTATAAATATACTCAATAAATAACTCACTATGAACTATAGACCTATAAAAGAAGCAATAAGACTAACGACATGTCTAACCACCGGGAGCTCATTTGGTAGCCATCTTTGGAGTTTATCAATCATATCACTAATTGTCTGTCTATCGGTCATGGTGTAAGGTTATCTACGCTTACCTGTATCCTTCATAGTGACATTGTCATAGTATCTTGTGGCCTGTAAGTAGGATATACTACCTTATTTAACTAGATATCTTACCCTTTAGGGTGTATGAGAGTTTTAGGGTATTATGATTAAGTCTCATAGTCCTTAATTTAGCACACAACACGTGTCATTGTTGGGGCTCACAACACGACAATTAGGCGCTCTCATAGTCCTTAATTTAGCACAAAACGCGTGAGTCAAGTGATCTTGCGGGGCCTAGTAGACGGAAGGGTTAAGCGTTGAAGCAGCCTAGTGAGCTACGAGATTTCCAAAGTGTCATTATTAGAGTAATGACATACAACCTCGTGAAACACAAACGCAACAATTTGAGATGAGCACTTGTCTAGTAATAATAGGCAATTTTTATTCGATTACATTGGTTGACTTGACGACATGTAAGAGCTAAAAAAGCATGGAAAAAAGAAGGAACTTAAAAGACCAAAGTTTTTCTTGTACACTCTTAGTCAATGTGAAAGCTTGGATTAAGTCAATAACCTCCAGGTCTGGTAAAGAAATTATCGTATCTTGTTTGTTTGTACTTTAGTTGACTTTGACCGTTCTTATAGCTTTATCTTAACTCGTTCAACTAAATAACAAAACAAGGAAACGATAAAAATATGTTATTGGAACATGGAATATATTAGTCTTTTCGAAGACCATCATGAAAGGAATGTGCACTTTGTTGGAATAGGTAGTAACTTTCGGTTCTTTTCTCCTTATGACCATCTTTTTGTGTACTATTTCTTGCCGTTACGACCCACGAGAGAAAGCACACTAGAGCAAGTGGTGCAAAAACGTCGTTGGAAAGGAATCGAAGAACGAATGAGGTGATAACATCCATCAAGCAGTAGAAGAGCCAGTCCATTGCATCATGTAAGTAATAAGTGAGTCATGCCAACAACGAGTGTGACTATTCTCATTCTTATCCAACCATCTTAGGCTCAGTTCATACCAAATCTATCCACCTACGGTTTAGTTTTACTAGCATGCATGCAAATCCAAGCAATCCCTACAACTATTACTTCCTAGAATCCGTTTGGTTACTTATTTGATTGTCGCGTCCTTTCTCGAGTTCAAACAGAAGTCACATTGGCAAACAGATAACATACGGGCAGTGTTATTACATATTTTATGAAATATTTTAAATAAATGTTTTCGTACGTATTAGTCATGTCATGTATGTATTAACGACCTTAATTTTTTTAGATAAAATTCAAAGTTTAAAGGTAAAAATAAAACATTTCAAAATCTGAGGACGAGTATTTTATATAATTTTGTAACCTATAATACTCACGGTCCCCTCCTATAAATTATTAACAAATTAATCATATTGTAAAATAAATAAACATTATAAAATAAAATAAAATAAATGAGACGTACCTACTCATTTCTCAAAAAGGCACATTTTTAATTTAACAAATAAATGAGAATAAAAAATGACTTGGTTGGGTTTAATTTTTTTTTTTTAATTTATGAAATATATTTAGGTTTTTTAAAATAATTATTATAAAGTAAAATAATGATATAGTTTGGTATTAAATGTCTTTTTCCTTGCTTCGTGTGAAAATGTCGGAATACATTAAATATATAGTTCTTTATATGTGGTATAGTGCGCTATCACTTTCGGACCACATCCAAAATCTCCTAAATTAAAATAATAATATTAATTATTATTATTATTAAATAAATAAATAAATAAAAAGTCAGTTGGTATTTATTACAAATGGCTTCTTCTTAAACTGACGCGTAATTCATTTTCTTTTTCTTTAATATATATTTTTCTCTTATTTACGTCATTCTTTCGTCGGCATGTCATCTACTATTTTGTTTTTTTCCTCACTTTATGAATAAAATATTAATTCTAAATTAATAAAACAAGATTTTAGAAATATTTTTAAAATTTTAAAAATACTCCCACCATTAATATTTTATTTCAAAATTACTCTGTCTTTTTTAATTGTTATTATAAGTTTAAAGTATATATAAAATTTTAAAAGTATTATTGATTTTTTAATCGTTATAAAAAATTTAAATCTTCTGTTACCTTTGAAAGTTTATGAGTATTTTTTAAATGTGATACTAACGATTTCGTCTATATTACCGACAATAAAAGTATTTTTTTTAAACTTTTTAACGGTGTTTTCGAAATTTGTAAAAAAGTTTAAATGTATTTTAAAAGATTTAAAAACAAATCAAGGGTATTAATCTTTTAAACTTTTTTTTAAATTTTAAAAACACCTTTATACTTAATATTGTTATTGTTATTTTATGGATGAAATTGTTAGTACCACGTTTTAAATATATTCAAATTAATATATTTAAACTTTTAAAGAAAAAAAAAATTGAGATGATCTGATTTTGACAGTAAAAATTATTTTCAAACTTATTTTAATAAAAGTAAAGAGCGAGGATGTTGATGATGTTTTTTTAAAATTTCGTGGATACTTTTAAAACCTTTTAAATTTAAAAGGTATTAATGAATTTTTTTAAAGTTGAAGGGTATTTTTTTTAACAATTATTAAAAGTTCAAATATATTTTTGAAATAAAATACTAATGGTTTCTTCAAAGACTAAGAGAAAAATATTTTTTAAATTTTTTTCAAGGTTTAAGTGTATTTCTGTGACAAAATACAGAGTTTATGGATATTTTTTTTATTATTAATTTAGCGATTAAACAATCAACATATTCTTATTTTAATCGTTGAGTATATCTCAAATAAAAGAATTGAAATTTTTTTAGTTTTGAAATTACCTGAGTTAATAATAAAATCATCCAATTTTAATATGATAATAGGTATTTTATTCATCGAACTATAAACTACATAAACTAATACCAAACGAAAGGCCACTTAAACATCATTATAACGTTGTAAATTACAATAAAGGCAAAACCAAGCGTGAGGCTACCAAACTCAATGCTCATAATGTCACTTTGACTTCTTATATTAAGTTGCCACATCTGTGTGACCCTCTTGTCAAGTCGTTTTAAATGTTTGAATTATCGATTCATTTTAGTCATAAACTTAATTAAAATATATTATCAAATTTTTTAATTCAACCAAAAAAAGTATTTTTTTTCATTTAAAGCTTTATTTAATGAAAATTTAGACACGTATTTAATATTAGGTAGAATAATGTTATTATTAGTAAATAAAAAAAGGATATTATTGTATTTAAAATTTATATAACAATAATTTAAAGTAGAAAATGATGGTGATCATCCATTATTTACCATAATGAGGAAAAAGACTCAAATATATATTTTGTAAAAGAAAAAGAAAATGCGAGACAGCTTATGATAGTGAGGGGAATTGAAATATAAGCTTTTGAAAATAAAATATATGTCAAAATCAGACAATAATTATTCATTTAATTGAAAAAAAGAGATTATAATACAATTTTTATTATGTTGAATAAAATTTTAAATGGGAATATTGAAAAATAATGGCTTGAATTTTTCAGCCAACATCATAATTCCCCAATCAAAATTACTCCTATTCTTCTCAATAATAATGATTGTAACTTTTTATATATAAAAAAATTAATTAAAGGCAGACCGATTAAAAGAAAGGTACATGAATAGACCGAGACCCAATTGAATGAGAGTGAATTTAAAATTATAATAACAAATAAAATAATTATAATTCTATGTCTCTATTTTTAAA